AAATCACAAGCAATGACAGAGTTCTAACTGATGTCATTGAATCTTTAGACACTCTTCTGAAAGATAAGAACAGGTGTGATTCTCAAATTTTCTCTGATTGGATCACTCAAAACATCTTCTGTATCAGCAAATTTCTTGAGGCCTCTTCCTTTGGTATGAATGGAGGCTAAAACCCTATCCTTGGAGTTGGAAATGAAGCTTGATACTTGCAGAAGTAAGCCTTTGTTGCTTTAGAATGATAAGAAGAAGCAGAAAGAAAGTGGGTCCAGAGAACTAAAGTGCCTTCAGTCTTCTATCAATTATGAGGGTCGAAGCAAGAAATCCAAGAAAGCAGGGTTCAACTTACTCAGGTTAAATGATTGACAAAATTATATCATGGAACATCAGAGGTCTTAATGACCATAAGAAAAGGCACATCATAAGGGGCTGTCTCAATAAATGGAAGCCAACTATTATTTGTCTTCAAGAGGCTAAAATAGAAATCATCACTGATAAAACGATTGACAGCATTTGGAGAATGGTTGATGTTGATTGGAAATTTCTACCTGCTAAAGGTGCTGCTGGAGGAATTTTGATTATATGGAGAAAAGATAAAGCACAGTGTCTAGATGTTATCTCAGGTGAAACATCAATCTCTTGTCTTTTTTCTAACAACGATAATGGTTCTTGGTACTTCTCTGAAGTGTATTGCAGAGGCAATCCGACTAAGCGTTCTCTACTTGAAGAGGAGTTAACCCACGTCAAAAATAGCTGGAGAGAGAAGGGTATTGTTGGTGGAGGCTTCAACATGGTTCTAAAGTCTTCTGAAAGATCAGTAAGTAGTTGCTCCATCAACGACATTGATGAGTTCAGGGCCTTAATTGACAAGCTTGATCTTAATGACCTACCCTTAAAAGGGCGAAGGTGGACTTGGAGCAACCAAAGGAGCCATCATTCCTCTTCAAGAATAGACAGATTTCTTATCTCCTCAAAGCTGCTCTTGGAGTTATCTAGTGTAAGTCAAAATGTCCTTTCTAGAGCTACCTCTGATCACTTCCCCATCTCTCTTTCTATGGATGGAATTAAATGGGGCCCTGTTCTTTTATGCCTGGACAACAAATGGCTGGGTCTTGACAACTTCAAAAAATTTGTCACTGACATCTGGACTAATACTTTCAACGAGGGGACTATAAGCTTCAGAATTGCTACCAAGCTCAAGGTCCTAAAGCAGGAAATTAAAAAATAGGCTTAGGAAATTGGCAAGAAAGAAGAAGAGAGCATTACTGATTTGATTTGTGAAGTTGATATCCTGGACAGAGAAGAAGAATGTGGTAATCTGACTAACACGGCTAGAGAAAGAAAATGTTCCCTAAAAGCTGACCTAGCCAAAAAATCTGAACTTGAAGAGGGTTTCACCAAGAAGGAAATTTGGTTTTGCCTAAAGAACTGTGAGGGAGATAAAGCCCCGGGACCGGATGGCTTTAACTTCAGATTTCTTCAAACGTTTTGGAAGGTAATCAAACCAGACATTCTTGAGTTTTTCAATGACTTTGACTCACGGTTCTTTTGTCCGATCTCTCAACTCTACCTTCCTAGTGATGATTCCAAAAAAAGCTCAACCCATGGACATCAATGAATACCGTCCTATAATTCTCATTGGTTGCATTTACAAATTTCTATCATAGGTTCTGACTAACAGGTTATCCATGGTGCTTCAGCACATCATCAGTAATTGCCAACATGCTTTTGTCAACGGGCTACAGATTACGGATGCTATTCTTATAGCCAATGAGGTGGTGGAACATCTTCCGACACAATAAGTATCTTATGCAAATTAGATATGGAAAAGGCCTTTGATCATGTTAATTGACAATTTCTGGATTACATGCTTCAGAGAATGGGTTTCAGAAGCAAATGGAGAAAATGGATCAAAACATGTGTCACAGCTACTAGTTTTGCTGTTTTGGTTGATGGTGAGCCTGCCTCCTTTTTCACTACTTCCAGAGGGCTGAGACAGGGAGACTCGCTTTCCTCTTTTCTATCTATAATCGTCGGGGAGGCCTTGCACAAAATCCTGGAACGTGCTAAATCTATCCAGCTTTTCAGGGGTCTGTCAGTGGAAAACAACACCAATAATATGGAAATATCTCATTTGTTTTTTGCAGATGACACATTAATCTTCTATCAACCGAACACAAGCCATTTCGTTTTCCTCAAATGCTCTCTGCTTTGCTTTCAGGCTGTGTCAGGGTTTAAAATCAATTTGCGTAAATCAGAATTAGTGGAATTGGGGAATTGCACCACTGAAGATTTATTTTGTGCTATTCTGGGCTGCAAAAAGTCTTCTCTTCCTATTACATACCTGGATGTCCCGTTGGGATCCAAACATAATGGCTCCAGATGTTGGGAACCAGTGTGAGATATGTTTAACAACAGATTAGCCACTAGAAAGAAGAAATTTCTGTCTAAAGGTGGCAGATTAACTCTCATTAAAAGCACTCTATCCAATCTTCCCACTTATTACCTATCTGTTCTCCATATTCCTTCAAAAGTTGCCAAAAAATTGGAAGCCTTTCAATGCAACTTTCTCTGGGCTGATACTGATAATAAGAGGAAATATCATCTTGTTAAATGGTCGGATTTAAAGAAGCTGCTGAGGAACAGGGGCTTGGGGCTGAGATCTTTGAACAATTTAAACAAGGCCTTGTTAGGTAAATGGATTTGGAGATATTGGAATGAGAGTGACAGCTTATGGAAAAAGGTTATCAATTGCAAGTGGTATAACGACAATCCCCATGATCTTACTAGTATCAAGAGCAGGAATTATGGTTTGAGTTTGTGAAGAAATGTCATCAGCATGAATGGTACTGTTTTGGGCCGCTCTAAATGCTCTATTGGCAATGGGACAAAAATTCGTGTCTGGGAGGATACTTGGTGCAGTACAGAGAAATTCATGGACAGATTCCCTCTTATCTATGCCTTAGCTATAAATAAATCTGCCACTGTTAGAGAAGCTGCTGGTTTTGATGGCTATGTTTCCTGGAATATCCCGATTGCGAGGAACCTTAACTATTGGGAATTAGAACAGTATGAATTTTTACTTCTCATCTTGGCCAGAATTTTTCTTAATGACAATGATGATAAACTGTTGTGGAACCTCAATAAGAATGGCCACTTCTCTGTTTAATCACTATCTTACTTTCTGGATGGCCATAACCAGAATGCTCCTAGATCCTTTCCCTCCAAGATCATCTGGAATTCTGGTGCTACCCCAAGGATTTCTTTTTTTGCTTGGGAGGCCGCCAAGGAGAGGATTCTCACCTTGGACAATTTGATGAAAAGAGGCTTCCTATGTAAAAATGCCCCAGAAACCTGCAATCATCTTCTTTTGAGATGCCCGACTACTCACAATCTTTGGAACATGATTCTTGGACTGTTGGGAGTTTCTTGGGCAATGGCAGAAAATGTTTGTACTAAATGCCTGGGAGGGTTTAGGCAGCAAGAATAAATCTATGAGATTTATTCCCCTTACTATTTTTTGGGTCATCTGGAAAGAAAGAACAACAAGGTTTTTGATGGAATTGAGTATGATTTCAACAAAGTTAAGGACAACTGGTTTCATTACTTTGGTTCTAACTTATTAGGGCATAGCCTTAGATGTCTTGATGATCTAGTTGACATTGTAGATACACTAACTGAGATATAAATTTTGTACATGGATGGCGCTCCCTTAGCAACTTATATCAATACAAGTTTCATACTTTTATTTCAAAAAACAAATCCTTTACCATGAAGCTTCCCAAGCAAAAAATGCTAACAGAATCCTTTCTCTTTCTTCAATCTAATCAATAAATCTAAATGACCACCAGAAGTAGACTCTCAGTGCAATTCAAGGTGGGACTCCATAAAGTGATACGATATTTGCAGGCATGTTTCCTCATATGTGTGCTTGGTAAGTGGTTCATTCTACCACTTTTGCAATAGTGGCCAATGTTGCTTGGGCTCTTAACTTTTGTTGTCTGATACAGCAATTTTTTTTAGTCAAAGGTATAGAGCCCTTGTCAATAAGAACCAAACATTTGGACAATCGTACTTGGATTTATTTAATATGTTAAAATAAATTGAGCTAATGCCAGTGTATAAGGAAGCTAAGAGACATAAGGAAGTATATCCTTTAGCAGAAAAAGAATAACAGGTTCATATTTATAGTGAAAATGGAACAGAAAATAAGAGGCTGATACTAATTAAATATATGGACTTTGACTTATGCAGAATAATTTCAAGATTTAAGCATTGAAGAAAAAAGCTCCATTTTCATAGTCTACATCAACATCTAGCCTAAGAGTATTCATCATCATCTTCATATTATCATACATCAAAACCTCTAGTTTTGAAGCAAGTGTTTGAAATGCACATGAAGTGTTGGACACGGATCCAACACCACGCCATTGTTGTGGCATGTCCAACACTGTTGTGGCATGTCCAACACTGTTGTGGCAGCAATATTGCAGATTTCAAACACTACAGATCATGGTACACATCAAAATTGTCAGTATTTATTTATTGATTTTGGACATATCATGGTCGAAAGCACCCATTTATTGGAGGAAAAGATTACCATTATGCTATCCCTAACTAGAGATGGTGTCAAGTGAAACTGTCAACTTTATGCTCATCTGATGTTTGATTTCTGATGTAGTGGGTCCTATCTACTATGACTATTATTATTATTTCATGTGGATGCTCACATTGGCCAAAATGTGTTATACTTGTCAACTTATCCCAGCATACTGTTTGGTCATAGGGTTGAATTTCTTTACTCCAATATATAGAACTGAGGAATATGTTTTCCTTGAAATTTTTGCATAGCAGCTAAAGGATCTTTCAAATTTCTAATTTTTAATATATAGATCCTAACTAACCATCTTTCTTGAAATTATAAAATGTCATTGTTGGTGCATGGAGTTTCATAAGAGTTTTCACCTTTTTCACCCATTTTATTATCTTGATGTTCCAACAGGTTATTTATCGGATAAAACTTCCAGGACCTGCTATTCTGGGTGAGGGAAAGCCTGAAAACCAAAATCATGCAATCATTTTCACTCGTGGAGAAGGTTTGCAAACAATAGATATGAACCAGGTATATTTACTGTTTTTCCACCTGGGACAATTATATCGTTTTCTTGATCTATTTAAGTTTGCTGAGATGTCTATGTAGGATAATTACATGGAAGAAGCCTTAAAAATGAGAAATTTACTGCAAGAGTTTCTTAAAAAGCATGATGGTGTGAGATACCCTACCATTCTTGGACTTAGAGAGCACATATTTACAGGATCGTAAGTACTCAAACATTGTCATTGAATGTATTTTGTAATAGATTCTCTTCTATGACCAGATTTTGGAAGATTTTTAATTCTAAATAATCCTTTACTTTTTATTTCAGTGTTTCCTCTCTCGCATGGTTCATGTCAAATCAGGAAAACAGTTTTGTGACTATTGGTCAGAGACTGTTGGCAAACCCATTAAGGTCAGTTATTTCTCCTAGTTCTTGAAGTCAAAACTTTTCAACTATTCCTTTATTTCTTTTGGGGGCAAGGGAGGCACCTCCAAATCATGTTCGGAATTTCGAATTGATTGATTGAACTTTTAATGTCATGCCCTTAGTTCTTAACCCAAGTTTGATCAGCCCACTGAAGCCACAGTAATCTAGCAAAAGGAGGAAGATCATTTTCTTAAAACTGAACCTTGATGATCATCTTTAAATTAAATGCAGAGAGAGATATTTATCCTAAGATCAAACTCATGGAATCTCATCTGTACAGTAATGTGCATGATATCTTGTATATTACTAGGAGTCATCTCTGGTTCTGGTAGTACAAATACTACTAATGCCTAATGTTCCTTTCTTTGTTAAAAGTTGTTATTATCTTATGCTTAATGTTCTTAATATCTATGCTGTTGCTTATCTAGGGTTCGGTTCCACTATGGTCATCCAGATGTATTTGATAGGCTATTTCACCTGACGAGAGGGGGTGTCAGCAAAGCATCCAAGGTGATCAATTTAAGTGAAGATATATTTGCAGGTATACTGATGTTTATGCTGTTCCCTTGGTTCTGTTTGTGATCTTCCAACTGGGTAACTCCCATTGTTGGATTGATGTTTTAGGCTTCAATTCAACGCTTCGTGAAGGCAATGTGACCCATCATGAATACATACAAGTTGGGAAAGGGAGGGATGTGGGTCTCAATCATATTTCTATGTTTGAGGCCAAAATTGCAAATGGTAATGGGGAACAGACATTGAGCCGAGATATATATAGACTGGGACACCGTTTTGACTTTTTCCGAATGTTGTCATGTTACTTTACCACTGTTGGTTTCTACTTCAGCACTCTGGTGAGCTGCAACATTTCTTTTCTTGGTTAGATATCATTATCTTTGTTTACTGATGATTTTAAACATCGGAAGTTTTGAGAGATTCTGAGCTTTTTATTTTGTTGTTTTGGCAGATCACTGTGCTCACTGTTTATGTATTCCTCTATGGCCGCCTCTATCTTGTTCTGAGTGGACTTGAAGAAGGTTTGAGTAAGGAACGTGCAATTCGAGACAATAAACCTCTCCAAGTTGCTCTTGCTTCTCAATCTTTTGTGCAGATTGGCTTTCTTATGGCCTTGCCTATGCTAATGGAAATTGGGCTGGAAAGGGGTTTCCGTACTGCACTAAGTGAGTTTGTGCTGATGCAGTTACAACTGGCACCAGTATTTTTCACATTCTCTCTTGGAACAAAGACTCACTACTATGGAAGAACATTGCTTCATGGAGGTGCAAAATATAGGCCTACAGGTCGAGGGTTTGTTGTGTTTCATGCCAAGTTTGCTGACAATTACAGGCTCTATTCACGTAGCCATTTTGTCAAGGGTATAGAGATGATGATCTTACTGATTGTTTGCCAAATCTTCGGTCAACCTTATAGAAGTGCAGTTGCTTATATCTTGATTACTATATCCATGTGGTTTATGGTGGGAACATGGCTTTTTGCTCCATTCCTGTTCAATCCTTCTGGTTTTGAATGGCAAAAAATTGTTGATGATTGGACTGACTGGAATAAGTGGATAAACAATATTGGGGGCATTGGGGTACCCCCAGAAAAAAGTTGGGAATCATGGTGGGAGGAGGAGCAAGAACATCTCCGTTTTTCTGGAAAGCGTGGGATCATTGTTGAAATTTTGTTAGCTCTGCGATTCTTTATTTATCAGTATGGGCTTGTCTATCATTTGACTATTACTAAGAGGACCAGAAGCTTCCTGGTATTCCTTTAACTTTGGTAAATAACTGTATACTCTTTTCATTTTCATGTTAAAATTGCTAAAGTTTTTTCTTTCGTTTGATATTAGGTCTATGGCATATCATGGCTCGTGATTTTTTTGATATTGTTTGTGATGAAGGTGAGTAGCGTAACCATTATACCCTTTAGAAAGAGTATATCTCTTAGAAGTGCTTCCCTCATACATCATCGACCAGTGTAACACAGAGTGAACTATGTTATCAGGTGTTTTGTTTCTTATTATATTGTCATTCTACAGTAGTAATTCATGTCTGCATTAGATAGCAAAATGATATGCATCACTGACATTACTGAGTTTGTTCTTCTTTGGAAGGCAGAGGGCAAAAGAAAAATAAAATGGAAGGTAGAATTGGTTTCCCCAAATTACAAGGCTGGACTTCAAAAAGTTGGAATAGTCCTATTTTTGTTAGCGAAAAAGAAAGATAATGCATTACAAAAACCATGTTTTCGAGGAACAACTTTGCTCCTGAAAAATGGGAAGAGTATTATGCATGTCATCAAAGCACAAATTTCTTCCAAAATTAACCTTATTCCTCCATCACTACCATAATTCACTTCATGTTCTCTTACTATTTTTAATAGGTTTTTACATATTTATTTAGGATTTTACGAATTAATTATTAATTCATAAAAATTTTATTGATCAACTATCATTTTAATTCATAGTTATTGTTTTAAACAAATTATATTCCATTTAATTTATGTTTATATTTTCATTAAATTGGTTTATTAATTAATTCAAGTCAGAGAATGTTAATAGTATGAACTTTATAATTTGAATTTAAAACTCTTAAAAGCAGACCAAATTAACTTCAAATTTGTTAGGGTGTCTAGGTAAATTATACATGATATTTTGTCAAGAGATAATATACCCAGTGTCATACACTCAAAATATCTTACTATTCTTATTTAGCTCTTGTTATGTTTGTTGCCACTTACCAAACGCAAGTGGAAAGTCCACACTGACTACGCCTAAAGTAAGAGTAAGTTCGAGATTTCTTATGTTCAAGGAGAATGGCAAAGTGAAAAAATAAGTGAAGAGCCCAAAACGACTATAATAGGAGGAAGTTCGAGATTTCTAATGTTCAATGACTTACACATTTGCTGCTAATTAAGTAATCCGAAAGTAAGTATCCCGCAAGAACCGAAACCTGCATTGAAGTACTAGATTCATAGCCTTTATCACATGTGCATATTATTTAGGTTCCCTGTTTTATGTTAGTGTCACATATGATTCTGTGAAAACATGATCTTGTTGTTTTGCTGCTCCTGATAGAATTTGGATTTCTATGTTTAAAATGTACTTCTTCCTTAGACTGTATCTGTTGGACGGAGAAAGTTCAGTGCAAATTTCCAACTCATGTTCCGGCTAATCAAGGGATTGATATTTATGACTTTTGTCGCCATCCTGGTTACTTTGATTGCACTACCCCATATGACTGTTCAGGACATAATTGTATGCATTCTTGCCTTCATGCCTACTGGGTGGGGAATGCTCCTGGTAAGTATATGTTTTCATTTCTGTTCATCTTTATACTTAATATTTTTTAAAAATAAAAAATGAAATAATTTTTTGTAAATCTCTCTATTTCCTTAAGTTTTTGCCTTACTGTCATGTAACTTCCCATAGTCTTGATCACAAAAGTTGTTATGATAACTTTTATTTTTCTCTTTTTTATTTTTTATTGTCCATCTTTTTGATCCTTGATGTCAAAGTTCTTCTCAAGTACTTCAAGATGATTTGAAAATGTGATTCTGCTTTTGCATTCTTTCACACAATCTGTTTTCCATATGTTGCCATCAACAACTGCTAAAATAATAAACTGAAATGTTGTTCTTGTTATTAAGATAAAGAAAATAGTGCATGTATTTATAGATATGCCTACTAATGAGAAAGAAAAACTAAGATATGATAAGTAGGATTAGACTGCAGTGGCATCTACCTTTATAGGACTATTGAATGTGATATTTTATTATTTTAGTTTGTTATTTGATTAATTAATTAGTATTATATAATTAGAATTCTATGAAAATAATAATTTCATATTATTAGAATTATAGTAGAATAATAATTTTCTTACTAATAGATTAGAAATTTTATAAATACCCAAGTGTAACAAATTAAAGGGTGAGAAATAAAATTATTTGTTTTTTCTCTATAAATCAATATGGTATCAGAGTCAAATAATATTATTTTAGGTTTCTAATTTTAGGGTCATTTCAAAACTCTAAAATAGCACAATATGTTGGGTTGATACCCTTTTATCCATATCTACTTTCATCACCATTCAACATGGATTTGAACTTGTCGATGTATTTTATGGTGTTTACGGTGATTTTCGGCGACAGTTTAGGCACCGGTAAAAAAAATGCAGCCGCACTCTGGAAGCGCTGGTAAAAAGTGCAGCTGCACTCTTAAGTGCCGATAAAAAGCTGCAGCTGGACATTCACATGCGTTGGTAAAAACTGAAGCCGCACATCACGGGTGCTAGTAAAAAAAGTGCAGTCACACATTCAAAAGCGCTGGTAAAAATATATAACCACACAACCGTAAGTGCTGGTAAAAAGTTGTAGTCGTACATCTATAATCACCATTAAAAAGATGCAGCCGCACGTTATATGCGCTGGTAAAAAGTTACAGCCGTACATCTACAGGTGCCAGTAAAAAAGCCCACGTCATTCTGTTTTTCTCGTACGTTCAAAGATCTGTCCGATTTCGAGCTGTTTTTTGAGCCGACTTCAAACCATTTTAGAGGCAAGTTTGAGCCGTTTTAGAGTCAAATCCGAGCTGTTTCAGAGCCGAACCCGAGCAATTTTAAAACCAAATCAAGTCGTTTTGAGCTGATTCAAGCTGTTTTGAGCCCAATCAAGCTGTGTTGAGTCAGGGCAAACCGTTTTGAGCTAGGCCAAGCTGTTTTGAGCCGAGTCAAGCCGTTTGAGCCAAGTCGAGCCCACGTACACCTTTGGTAGATTGCATGATGATTTTTCAAAACTTGTTTTACAAGTTGGGCATGTGCGATATCCCTGCCCAACTTGGAGGGTGTTGAATATGATATTTTTATTATTTTAATTTATTATTTAATTAATTATTTATTTAGTTAGTTAGTATTATGTAATTAAGATTTTATAAGAATAATAATCTCATATTATTAGAATTCTAGTAAAATTAGAATTTTTTCATCAGTAGATTAAAAATTCTATAAATATTCAAGTGTAACAAACTAAATGGTGAAAAATAAAATTATTTATTTGTTCTTCAAAAATCAATAAGTACATTAACAGTAAAAGAAAATACTATAAGAAAACTATCTTGGTACTCTCTAATAGACTATATAGGAAATATTTCTATTCTCCAACACTTTCTCTCATTCTGAACTTTCATGACTTGTTATAAATAAACTAAAAAGTAAACAAAAAGTTTAGTCGAAAGTAAAAACTTGTGATGCGTGGAAATTTACCAACTAGGAACAAATTGATGGGTTATATGAGTCATCCCTCTAAATGGGCTAAACCCACAACTTTTTTTCGACAAACAAAGACTTGAACAACATCCTCATACCTTGGCAATAATTTTTTTACCAATTTTGATAGGCAAACGACTAAAAATTCTTTCTCTCTCTATCAAATAAGACAAGAAGCCTTTTCTCCCATTCAGCAACAAGCTCTAACAGCTCAAAACTTTTGTAAGACACTAGTTTCAGTCCCCAAGTAAAGCTCTAAGGTTCCAACAAATTTTTTTTTCAGTGGGACAACTTGCTTCTGCTCTTGCTCCCCCTAGAAAAGATCTCAAGTTCAGAACAAATGCTTGTGAGACAACTAATCCTTAGTGTCTTTAGGCAGCTATATCCAATTGTCATCTTTGCCTTCATTATGAGGTGGTTTGAAATCTTTGTTCTAGGTTTTAGATCCCTTCGCTAGGATCCTCTGGAGACATTTGAGTTTTTTGGCTTCTTTGGTGGTTAAGGCTCTCATGGGTGTTTTAACAGTGTCTTTTTTTTATTTTGTTACAAAGGGAATGTGGTGCTATTTTGTATTGATTTTTTTTTTCTTCCTTTTTTTTTTTCTTTTTGGAGGGCTTTTGAACTTTTTTCTCTCATGGGTGTTTTAACAGTGTCTTTTTTATTTTGTTACAAAGGGAATATGCGGCTATTTTGTATTGAATTTTTTTTTCCTCTTTTTGTTTCTTCTTGGAGGGCTTTTGAGAATACCTTATTTACTACTATGGTGTCTAGATTAACTACATAGGAAAAAGACTATACAAAAAAATCTACTATTCTCTAATAGACTACAAGAAATAGTCATATTTTTCAGACAATAAAGATTAATGGTGCTTACTTCACTCATCCCTATTTCAGGAGCCAATTCACAAATTGAAACAAGGATAGAGCTTCCATATGCTTTGCATTTTGCTTTTGTCCATCTTTCTTGATAATATGATGCTATTTTTTCATTGCCTGAATTGTTCCCAAAATTTTCAGATTGCTCAAGCTTGCAAGCCTGTAGTTCAACGAGCTGGGTTCTGGGGATCAGTTGGCACACTTGCTCGTGGTTATGAGATTGTTATGGGCCTTCTCTTGTTCACCCCAGTGGCATTCCTTGCCTGGTTTCCTTTTGTCTCAGAATTCCAGACTCGTATGCTGTTCAACCAAGCGTTCAGTAGAGGTCTGCAGATTTCTCGTATTCTTGGTGGGCAACGAAAGGATCGTTCTTCCCGCAACAAGGAGTGAGACCTTAATGGTAGCTACTATTGTCTTCCATGTAGATTCATCAATTTCCCTGATACAGTTGCACCAGGGGGCACTCAGGTCTGTTAAAAATAGTGTCCATATCTATTTGTATGCCCGTTGTTGTTTGTGTTAGATGAGGGCTGCAGTTTTGGGAACTGGAAATTAGTGGAAATGTAGCCTACCCTAATCATCTTACTACCATTTTCCTGACAGAATAGATTATCAGTCAGTAACGAGAGTGGCATCATGCTCGCCTATGTACTATAAATATATAAAGCATATAATTTTATCTAATATCAAAATAGTAGAAGAAAGATCATATATAATAAATATATAAAGCATATAAATATATTATAATAAAATAACATTATATTAGGAATTCACTTTCATGTGGATAAACACTAATATAGAACTCTTGACAAGTTCATTTTAAAAGACATTCCCCTGCATCATGTCTACTTTCATTCATTCTCTGTCTCGTATCAACCGGTTTGATATAAGGCCAGTATGGTATTTGGACAGAATAGAATTTTCATTTTTAATGACTATATATAATCCAGTAAATGAATCTTATGATTTTATTTTAATCAGAAGTATGTTAAACACTATTTATATATTATTATTTACATGTATATAATAATTATCTATAAATTTTTAACTAAAATAATAACATATATAAAATTTTTTTATTTAATTTTTTTTAAATATAAAAATAAATTTTAACTTTTAGTTGAATATAAATATGCATATATATATAAATAGTTAGAATTATATATTATATAAATTCCTTATTACCTATTTTTCACAATTCATTTTACAACAAAAAAATAAGGAATGATAAATTTTTTGTTTTTATTAGAAACTCTTACTTTTATAAAATTTTATTTATATAAAATGTTTTTTTATATAATTATAAAAAACTTTTTCTTTTAATTTTAAATATATATATAATTACAGTTTGAAAATTTTATAGAAATAAAAAAAAAATGAATTTTCACTTGCAAAATTACAATAATTTTTACAAATATCCATATATATATATAGAGTTGTCACACATAAAATAACTAATTTTGTTCCAAAACCATTTCGGTATATAAAATATCACTTTCAAATCCTAACCCTATTCGAATAAAAAGACAATCTTCATGTTTCAAACGAAATCAAACTCTGACAAGAAAAGGCAGACTGAGATCTTGATCACTTTAAATCAAGTTCCTCATATATGGCAGAGACGCACAATTAATTTCGAATTTTCAAACCCTTTCACTTCGATATATCTCGACTCTTTCATAATCACCGTAATACAACACTTCTGTTCTCCAATGTCGCTACTAGGTATGTATACGCTCTCTCCTTTCACAAATCTCCGACGATCCATTCTTGGTTATCTATTTCGGCGATTTTAGTTTATATTATTCGAATCTTCAGGTCAGCGTAGACCGCTGTTGGATGGCACGATACTGCTGCTGGAAGACGAGAGCGAGTATAGTGGAGACGGCGAGAAGGGAACGCCAGCGGTGATTTATGTACTGGGAATGTTGATGAGCTTGGCGTTGATAGGAATGAGTACGTTTGCACTGGTATTTTGGGTGCAGGAATCGAGGATGAGAGGGCTTCAGCTATGGACGAAGCTCTGGTTCGCTGCTTCTTCTACTGTTTTTCTTCTCTCCGTAGTTCAACTAGGTCTGCTGGTTTTGGAATTCCACTTGTGCAAGAAGATTATGGAGTGTAAGGAGGTTGCAGAGGATGAGGAAGATTTAGAGGCTAGTTACCCCACATACGAGGTCGTTCAAAGTTAGATACAAATGCATGTAATATGACATTGCTTCTGAAGTAGATTAATTAATATTGCGTGTATTAAATTAATTACAAAAATAAATTTTGGTGACTTAGTGTCATAAGTATCACATTTACTTAACATATATATATGTATATGTGAAAAAACAATGTCTCCTATTAATTAAATCGCTAAATCTTATGACATATATATGTATATATATGTCATAAGATTTAGCGATTTAATTAATAGGAGACATTGTTTTTTCACATATACATACATACATATACATAAGTGCCTGCAAAAGAAAGGGAAACAAAAGGAGATGATTGTCTTTCACATATACACACACACATATAAATATATATATATATAAAAGTACCTGTAAAAGAAAGGAAGCATAAACAGAATCAACGAACTTAAATTGTTAAACATGGACCAACAAATTTGATGGGTCAAAATGAAGAAACACTATGAGCCATACCCAAACCCACCATTGTAGCCACCAAAATCTCAACACCCGTGTCTCCCATCTCTCCGCCTTCCTCTATAAAACCCTAAACCCACCATGTTTTTGCAGCAGTATAAAACTCTTTCAACTTATATATATCGATCCCCACATATCTTGTCTCCCTTTCTCTTGGTAACAGTCGTTTAGGGTCGACCCAAAACCAGAAAAAAAGAAAATTTAAACGTGGTTGATTTCGGCCTTTTTTAGCGGTTGTTACATAGAGAGGAAGTTTTTCAGTAAAACAATCATCATGGGTTTTCTCCACAAGCTTTGGGACGAAACGCTTGCCGGGCCTGCACCGGAGACGGGTCTCGGCAGACTCAGGAAATATGATTCGTTCTCCGCCACACGATCACCTCCCGTTGTCACCGATCATGATCAGGTGGTGATAACGAGGAGTATTACCATTTTAAAGGGCACAAACAGGCCTGGTTTTAGGAACTTGTCGGTGGATCCGGGCTCTCTCCCGGACTCGCCGATCGGCTCTAGTAATCCTGTCACGCCTTTGACGCGTAAGCTTTTCTTTGTCAATTTGTGCATGTCGTAAAATATATTCATACATCAATTACAACACAATAAAAAAAATAACTTATAGAGAGAGAACTCCGACTCAAATCATAATCTGAGATTGATCATGGGGAAAACTGAACGAATGACGGTTCTCTCGAAATAAAGCTTCTTGGTTTCTCTGAATGTTTCTTTGTTAAGTTTTAGTTTTACCTTGCTTATTATACATGTGTGTGTATATTAAGTGGAGGGGTATGTTTCTAATACGCCGTGTTGCATGGTGGTGCATGGCAGCGGGGACACCACGTGGGGATTTTAGGAAATTCACGAAGACAAAAATATCAGCCGATGCTGAATCTGGAAGTCTGACTCCGAGCGCTTATGATTGGTTCTCGTTTTTGTGTTTTTCTTTTTTCAAATTTACATATGCCCTCGGCCTTGCCCTCTGGCTACAACCAACCTGTTTTTATCATTCACTAAATTATGATTTTCAGGTTTTTAATCCGATTTAGTTTTAAATATATAGAATTTAATTCAATTCGATCCGAATATAATTTATTTAAATTGACTATTTATCAATTTAATTTATTTTTTATCGATCAGTTTTTTTGTGAAATTTGATTCTGATTTCATTTCAATTATATATATAATACCAAATTAAGAATATATTTTATATATTTTCTACAGGAAGACAAACCCTTTAATGTTTTAGTCAGTCCCAGAGAGGCAAGGAAGAGAAAAACTCATATATATATATATATATATGTGTGTGTGTGTGTGTGTGTATTGTTATATATACTTTATACAAATAAAAGTTTTCTATTATGGCATCTCAATGCGCTTAACTCGAGTCTGTGCTATGTTACAGGATTATGATAAGCGCATTGGATCGTTGAGAGAGTAATTGATTTTTGCTGGAAGAAAAATCAGCAAACTAACGATATATATATATATATATATATATACGTATATAGACGAAAGCTTTGTACATAAAGATATCAGCTTTTTGTGGGAATTTCATGATATATATCTTACGAATATATATGTGCATGGCGCATATATAAGATATATATAGATGTGATGAACTGACCTTGTTAATTACAATAAGACTGGTTCAGATGAAGATGATAAAAGGAGAAAGAACTAGATTTGCTTCTTTGGAGTTTTCGATGGAGGAACAAGTAGGAGATCAGCCGGCTGTCCCGGACTGACCAAGTAGGATTGTACATATATGTTTTCCACGGGATTTTCTTTCTCTTTTTCTTTTTCTTTTTCTTTTTCTTTTTTCCCCTTTCTTTTCCCAAATATTGTACATATGATGATTTTCTGTTCTGGGTTTGTTTTAATTTTGCTCTGTTTTACTTTCTGTAAGTATAGGTTGTGTATATTTCAATCCTCTTTCAATGAAACTCGTTTGGAGCCTGCAATTCATGTCTTTATTGGCACATCTTGTTAGTTACCATAGTAGCAACTACATATAATTTTGTCCCATATAATCTTCTATATCCTTAGGAGCTGCCGGAGCTTCTAGTTCATATTCTTGAGCTGTATAGTAACTATCGAGTTTTCGTATTCCTTTCTCTTCAAAACGAAAAAGAAGATGCTAAAACCTTATCAGAATTTTCATTGGTCCTATTCCAGAATTTTCTTCATACAGAAATCACTACATAGAGCTGGTTCTTTCATGGAAGCTGCCATAATAGTAGTAATCTAGATTATATGGAGGAACTGAAAATTAAATATGTAAATCAACAGGGATAAAGAATACAATTGATGTTCATGCATTCTCAAATCCGGGGGAGCAAGAGTCTACCTGTAGCTGCAAGACCTTTTGATTTTCAGCATAATATAGTATTGAACAATATCATTTAGTTAGACTTGCTGTTGGAAATTGGGACTTTGATGATGCTTCTTTTATGTTTTAGCAGATTGATACCCTAAACTCAAGGACTACAAAACAGCAGAACTCTTCGCAGAAGCATGTAGCGAAACAACTTGAAGTATTTGGCAAACGCATTCGTTGTTTTCAAAGAAAACTTTTCTGGTAAATGTATAGAATTAACAGAGGGAGGATCTGGGACGTAATCATTCATCTTCCATGATCCATCATCCATCTGAACCATATTGTTGTTCCTTTCATTACACCACCACTCAGCAGGAACTCCATATTCATCCTTCAAACCATCCAAAATTCTGTTTACCAGTGAAATATCATGATCCACTACCAGCATAAATTCCCCATTCTCTTGCCAGCCTGCAATTCCATGGAGGTAAACATCCAAAACATGCACAGGGATATCTGGCTTCAGATAATGTGACTTGGTGGTGTTGATCTTTCAATCTTCTCCCAGATCTACATATCCCCATTCTAGAGGTGGATATGAAGGAACATTATCCAGCATATCCGTTACGCGTAGGATATGAAGATTATCGAGTCCGGAAAACATCTTTTTTAGACCTGCATCACCAATGCGAGGACTAGCAAATGCAAGAGCAGTAACCATACAAGTCCCCCCCACCGGCTTAGTATTGTATCCATTAGCAACAATGTCAATTGCTGTTAGAGTTGCAAGTGATGCTCCCAGACTAATACCACTGACGGATATGCTAATTTCCTCATCTTTATATTTTTCCATCTGTTTCTTAACCTCTTCCAGAATCTAGATGTCAAACCCAGAAAACAGAGTCACAATAATCTAGTATATGGACGTCAGACTCTAATTCACATATGTGAAACAATTAATTATTCCTAATTCTTCCAAAACTAAGCTGATGAAATTTCGAAGTTCATAGTTTACAAATTAGCAGCTTCAAACTGAAAGCAAAAATTAATTCCAAAGGCTAAGAGACCTCAGCTTTCTAAATAATTAACCTTATGAGAATACATCGAATTTGAGCCTTTTACCAAATTCGTCAGTTAAATTTTGGTGAATATAAACCTCAACAGGCAACAGTTTTCAAGCATGGTGATACAGATTTCATAGTCCAAAATGGGAAAGATAGTTTAAGGAAAACAGGACAGTGAATATTTACCTGATCTCTAGCACTGATCTTACTGAAAGGGGTGTCTTCGCTGCTTGCTGTGTAGATAGAGTAAAACCCAGAGTGAACTTTGGGGTTATCGCCTTTCCCAAGTAGATCCTTGGCTGCAACAAGATCACTCTCCACGTCTTTTTCCCACTCTGACTGAGTCATGGTTCCTCTCCAACAAACCAAAATATCTCTCCTTCCTAACACATTCTTCCCCTCATCTGTAGTCACAGCCACATATCCCATCCAGACAGACTTCCTGTCTTCTTTGGTTTCTTCAAGTGCATAAAAGAAGCTGGTGACAACATACTTGTATGGATTGCCATTTTGGAGCCAGAGATTGGTGAAGAAATACTCTGGTGGGTAAAGACTATACCCATAACCTTTGGATGCTTTTCTATAATTGAAAGCATACTCAGCAGCTGCTACCCTTTCACCATAGTGGATAAGATAACGGCGAAGATCAAGGTTGAGTGGGCTTAGCAGGCCTTTCCAGTTATTCTCCCCGCTCAAATCTTTCCAATTTTTAGCTATGGTACCCATCATCAAAATTTTTTTAGCTGCAAACAGGATTCAATACATATATTGTTAATATACTGAGCCTGAATAATACAAAGATGCAGATCCCGCAGAATTTCATTAATCGACAAACTGTAAGATTCTCTTCCTTATTTTTTGGAATGAAACAATATTGAAAAATTAACTGGAAAAGAAGCCATTTGTGAGCATTTAAGCTAAGGTTTTGGACTTTTGAGAGTTCAGAGGAGATCTCAGCGAAAACATACCGGAAAGTGTGTTTTCAACGCCTTTTACACTTGAGTCTGAGCAAGTACTGAATTGCGAGTGATTGACGGAATAACTAACTGTCGATTGCCAAAGATTGCAACGTTTCGGAGAGAGTAGATGGAGAATCCCGATTTTTGAAGGGGAAGAGAGAGCCTGGAAGTGTGATTTTCAAAGTCAAAACTACAAAAACAGAGAGAGAAATTATTTATGAATAATTAAATGCCAATAAATTATTTCCAACGATTTAACTTTTTGAAATTAAATGCCAATAAATAATTGTAAGCTAAAAAGACAAAATATCACCACAGCGGCTGCTTAAATTCGTAATGTTAGATAAAGAAAGTTCTAAATTTAAAATTCTACTGTTTCTTTATTTTATTAATTTATTTATGAACTAATTAGCAAAAACAAAATCACTACCACATCTGACTAAATGCTTAAATTTATAATGCTCAGTCTGAAAGTTCTAAATTCAAAATTCTAATGTATCTTTGTTGCATTAACATAATTAGCAAAGACAAAATCACCACCACATCTGACTAAATGCTTAAATTTGTAATGCTTCATCTGAAGATTTCAAATTCAAAATTCTCTTATATATTTATTTTATTAGTTTATTCATGAAACTGCATCGTCGGAATTAACAAAGACAAAATCACCACCAATGCGGTTAAATGTTTAAATTTTAAGGTTCTAAATTCAAAATTCTCCTGTATTTTTATCTCATTAATTTATTTATGAAACTACATCGACCGAATTAGCAAATTATCATATCATTTACATAAAAAAAAATTTCTGCTTTATTTAACTCATTACTGTTGTAAATAAACTATCACATTTTTAAAAAAATAATAATATTTTACAGCGACTAATTTTTTTTAGTTAAAATATTTATAACAGTATAACTGATAACTTAACTTTCTACTATATTAATAAAATTATAATAATTAAATTAAAATAAATCTCATTGTTTTTAAATTAAATTTGAACTAACCTTTTCTTTAATTAAATAAACTAGCACAAAGCATCCACATGCCATTAATCTGTAGAATTATTGACTGCTGGTAGTGTTGGGAGGATCTGGGATATACTCCTCCAGCTTCCAGAACCCATTATCCATTTGAACCATATTATTGTTCTTATCGTTGGCCCACCATGCAACAGGAACTCCATATTCATCCTTCAAAGCATCCTGAGCTTTGTTGACAAGTGAAATATCTCGATCAACTGCCAGCTTAAATTTCCCATCTTCTTGCATCCCTGCAATTCCATGGAGATAAACCTCTATCTCATGTGAATTCACTTCTGGCTTCAAGTAAATTGACCTGGTACTATCAATCTTCAACTCTTCTCCCAGATCTACATACTGCCATTCTTTAGGTGGATAATCCGGAACGTCATCTGGGATATTACTTATTCGTAATATATGAAGATGATTGAGTCGAGATAAAACTTTTTTCAGACCTGCATCTCCTATACGAGGACTAGCAAATGCAAATGCGGTTACCATACAAGCCTCCCCTGTCGGCTTAATATTACATCCATTGGCAACTATATCTATAGCTGTCAATGTTGCAAGTGAAGCCCCTAGACTATGGCCTGTCACACTTATGCTGATTTCTTCGTCTCTATATTTCTTCACTAGTTTCTTAATCTCATTTAAAACCTAGGTAAGCATTAAAAAAGGGGAAGAAAAGTGTTAGATTTAGTTTCAATTACATTCTTTTAGTAAAATTTCATTTATTAGATAACAAATATACATCAATCATAACATAATTTTCTAATGAAAATGCACGGAAAGACACAAATCAATTCTAAATTAGGAAAACAAAGTATATATTACCTGATCTCTAGCGCTGGTCTGACTGAAAACAGAGAGTGGACTGCTTGATGTGTAAATAGAATGAAAGCCAGAATGAACCCGAGTGTTATCGAGCTTTCCAAACAGATCCTGAGCTGGGATTAGATTCGACTGAATATCTAGATCCCATTCAATTTGACTCATGGTTCCTCTCCAAGAAATCATAATATCTCTTCGTCCCAATGCGAGTTTTCCTTCATCGGTGGTGACAGCCACGATGCCCATCCAAACAGAGACTTTATCTGTCAAAGCATAAACAAAGCTGGTAACTGTGTACTTATATGGATTGCCGTTTTGGAGACAAAGCTTAGTGAAAAACTGATTTGGTGGATAAAGGCAATGTCCATAAGCTTTAGATGCTTTCTTTTTGTTGAAGGCGCTTTCACAAGCTCCAGCTCTTTCACCATAATGGATCAGATAAAGGCGGAGATTAAAGTTGATTGGGTTCAGCAGACCATCCCAGTTGTTTTCACCGCTCAGCTCTCTCCAGTTTTGTGCGATGCTATCCATGGCGGGTAGGTAGTCTCTTTAGGTGAACCAGGTTCAGATAATCTCTACAGAACTGATCCAACTTCCAGCTTTATCTGAGACAATTTACATTGAAAAAACAATAATTCGTTTATGTCAAACATAAACTATACCACATAAAAATATATCAATATGGATTAGAATTATTGCTGAAGTTGATGCAATTAATCATTCTGTCGAATCAAAGATGGTATATTCAACAGATAATTGTCAACCATTTAGGTAGAAGTAAGGTACAAGATCCTAAAGACTACATTATAATAGGTCATATTCATTCGGTTACTAAAACAGATGGTAGTAGGTATGCAGCTTGAAGATACAATAAAATATGAAAGAGGCTCCCCAAAAAGAATGCAAGGTTCAAGATTCTAAAATAAACAATTAGTACTAATAAAACGAACCTGAAAGAGGTCTATAATGAGGATAAGATAAAGGGAAGGAACAATAGTATTTCATTACTACAAATATAAATTATTGAAAAAAAAAATATAAGACATGTATTTAAATATTTTTCTTCGACTCTATAATATTATATTATTTATTTGATATAAATAGTTAAAAGAAATTTTATAAAAAAAAAAATAAAATTATGGGAGTGTGACTTAAACTATTGATTGGGCGGCACAGCGAGTTATGGTTCAGACCGAGAAATGAAATGAAATGGACCGAGCAATTTAGACAATCTCATCATACCAAAATAATTTTGGTATGGTTTCGATTCACACAACAAGAGATCAATTTATACTAAAATATAATTTTATTTTAATTTAGTAAATAATAAAAAACTCAATCCATTTATTTTTTGACCAGTTGATACTGAAACTAATGTATTTAATTTTATTCACATCTATACAAGAGGATTTATATTAGGCACTTACTTTTTTTTTTCTTTAAGAAATATTATGTGTATTATTAGGATAGGAGATAGTTATGGAATCTAAATTTAAACTACAAATTAATGAATTGAAAATTGAGATTTGTAACTTTATTTAACAAGATTAAAAATACTTCACTACACTCAAATATTATGGTTATACATAGATTATGTAAATATAAACTACTTAAAACAAAATAATTTTGAAATTTTGTATTAGTATTTCAAAATAATAAAATGAGATTTGCTTTTAAAAAATCATGTAAATACGTATGATAAATTTTACATGAATATAATTTTTTCAAAAATAATCAAATTATTTATACTATCCTTAAAATTATAACTTATAACTTTTAAGTGACGGCCTAAATCGAAATCAAAATCGGAGTTAGGTGATTCATTATCTCTTATCATGATTCATCTACAATGATAGTACAGAAGCTCATATAATCTGAATTGTTTTATCACTAGATTAAAACATAAGATTCTAAAAAATGCTAATAAAATATTAAACTCAATATATTTTATTGTAGATTAAGAGCATTTAATTTAAATTACATGATATTTTCAGTAATAAGTTAATAATTGAAGTTGGAATTTAATCTGTTGACCTGATCTAAGAAAATACTTTTAAATAAAACTGCAGTACTAATTTATCATCTTCACCAACCCGGGAAAAAAGGAAAGCGGTAATTGCAGTAATTAAATGCAACATAAATAGCAATATATGGGGTTGCTATTGGACGGCTATGGATTGGGTATAAAATATGAATGATTTATATTTTCTAAACTGTTCTTATTCAATTAAATCCTTCAGAATTCATCTCCGTCAAAAAATAAAATAAAATAAAATCCTTTAGAATTCATCAATCATGAAACTCTAGCTCGGAAAAAGCTCAGTTTAAACATACAAAATGCTTTAATGGAAGACGACTGGGAAGGATTGTCGACATACCTAAGATCAGGTAAGGAAGCTGCTCAGTAATTTTCACTCGGAGCTCGAACTGATCCGAGTATCTTCCTGATTTGGTAATCTGAGGAGAATGCCAAATCAGGCATCTGATGAGAAGGATCGAAGAGAGTGCCTTACTGCTTAGCTCTTGAAGGCAAGTATTCCGTAGTCTGGAGAGATGATACTCGTATTTGTCTCCCCTTTTTCTTTTGGAAGTAAAAGGGAGTGTTCTTATTTGTCAGATAGAATATGCAGGGGAGAGGCGTTTAGAGAGAGACAAGCATGGGCTGCTGCTGCGAAGTTCGGGTTTCCGATTCTGAATTCTGGAAAAGGGAAACGGAGGAAGATGATGGAGGAATAAAAGGTATATGAGGAAGGAGAGGATGATGGATGATCCCTTTTCGGAAATGGGAAAAATCAGATTTTGAATGCTGGGAAAACTTTAAATAATTGTTGTTTAGGCCCTACATATCTTATGTATTTCCACTTAAGTACTGTAAAAATATGAAAATTTCACGTGTACCCCTAAATTAATATTCTTCTCCGGCCTCTCTTAATTATAAGGTGCCAAGTAAATGAGTTTTGATCCAACATATAAATATATAATATGTTGAATAAGTGGTCAAATAGCAATAATATATATACAGACCATTTTACATTTAAGATGCACTCATCTTTTAATCTTGTAATACTACTCTCTTTTCACATTAGTAGTTGTTGAAAAGTTTGACTATTACTCAATGAAATAGTAAATATATGTTATATTGTATGTATATACATATATATAAAACAAAACTAATAATATAAATTGGTAGAAATTGAGGACATGATAATTGTTGGATGGGAATTTTGGCACAATGAGAATTAATACAAACATATTATATTTTGGATATTGGAAATGGCATACATGTTATATACACACACATATATATATATATCTCCATATTGAATTTGCACCTAATAAGAAAGTCAATACACAAACCCCAAATGGTCCTACCCAAATATGAAATATATCTCCTTGCGATACATATTGGTCCATCCTGACAAATAAAGGGTGCATGTGATCAAAGAATTTATAATCCTTTTTTCTTTTTTTTTTGCTTGTATTTTTATGTAGAAAATTTTATTTATTGATGAGCCATTTTTGTTTTGCACCATACAATTATATATACAACGGGAGAATGGAAAAATATATATAATAAAATTTTAAATGAGAAAATATATATAATATGTATTTGTAAGAATGATTGTTTTAACGTTCATATATATACATATATATATATATATATGTGTGTGTGTGTGTGTGTATGTATATGATAAAATTGGTAGATTAGTCAAAGCTTGCGTATGAAAGGGAAAAAAAAGAAAGACTAATACAAATCATTTAAAATTAGCCGATTCAATGTCATGTATTTATATATAAATGATGATACATCTATATAATATATTTTTATAAATATATAATTTTTTTTCATAAAAAATATACATTCTTGAACGTACGAAATGTTTTTAGACGAAGACGATGATTATTATTATTATTAATATTAATTAGTATTGTTTTCATTATATTTGACTGCAAGTTGGCAGGAAATGATTCAAAAAAAAAAAACAAAAAAAGAAAAGCAAGTAATTGGATCGGATGGACGTGGACACGACAAGTGTCAAAGGATAAGTGGACAGAACCTGATTGACAACCCGGGATTGATGAACACTTGAGAGGGCAATATGGTAAATAGACTCATCTTTTTTAAAAATAATAATTATTAATTATTAGCTATTATATATACATTTAAATAAACAGCTTGAACTGCACGATATGTCCAAATATTTCTCTTCAACTTCCAAAACTTTTCTTAAAGAACCGTTAAAATTTAAAGATCTTCTTAACAGGTTCTAATTCTACGGGCAGAAAATTGACGTCACCTTGTTCTGAAACGAAATTACCGAATTGCCCTTTAATATTTATAAATGATATTAATTTCATTGTAATTTTTTAGAATATAAATTTTGAAATTAACAAAGACGAAATATAATATGTCTAGAAATAGGGTGTTGATTTATTTATTTAAATATTTTATTTTAAATAAATTATCAAATTATGAAACTTTGGTATTTACTTTAATTTTGGTATCTTTATAGCGTTATTCGTTGATTTTAATTAATTAAATTAATAAAGTATTTAAGGAGACTTTATTATTTTAATTTTTTATTAAAAAATAAATGAAAAATATAAAAATCAAGTTATTATGAAAAAATATATTAAACACTTAATTATATAAATATAAATTCCGAAAATTAAAAATATTTAATAAATTTAAAGTAATTATTCATTAATATAATTAATTAATCAAAATATTTTTTTGAATTATTTTTAAATTATTTAAACGTGATTTTATTATTTTAAACTTAGAAAGAGGCCCATTTTGGTAATTCTACAAGCTGCGGAGTGTCTTTTTCATTCTTTCCCATTCTAGTTTAAACCCACTAATTATCCGCTTCAGCAAATTACAAACAAAAAGTTTGTTTGAAGCACAAACCCACAGTCTCTCTCTCTCTCCTCTCTCTCTCTCTCTCTCTCTCTCTTCTCGTCTCTTTCACTTTCTCTCTCTACTGTATCGCAGAGACAGAGAGAGATGAGTAGTGTGGAGAGAGAAAGCAAAACCCACCAAGGAAAAAGAAAGATACATTTGAGAAATGAGTAAAGCAAAAACCATCTTGTCATTTTTAGGGTTTTCTTAACACTCAAAAATTCAAAAAAGAAACCCCCTATAAAGCTAAATCTCCTATATAGAGCCAGAAAAAGAAAAGAAGCAAACAGTGGTTTTAACAAAAGAGAAGAGAGAACTACTCTGAATGCTATCTTTGTACCTATTTGAACCCCAAACCCCCAAGCTAGAGACTCCGATTCATCAAAAACCCACCAAGATCTCACTGACTTCTCCTCTCAGGTACGCTCCGATTTCACTGATCCAGCTGGCATTTCTCTTAATTTATCGACTTCTTTTATTGGTTTACATGCAATATGCTTCCTCATTGTGACTTCGCCTATGCGTTTATCGAAATGGTTTTTTCTTGGTTTGGCATTTGAATTTGGATTTATGGGTATGTAGGGAAATGTGTAGCATCTTGTTTTGGGCGTGGTTTTGTTGGGAGGAATCAGATCTGGGAAATCTCTGATTTCTATGAATGAAGTGTGGGTTTCTATTTTGGTGCAACCTTTTTGTTTTCCGGTCAACTTTGTTTCACAGCTTGAGGGTTTTGAAGTGAGATCCATTTTGTATCTCTGATGTTCATAATTAGTGTTTTAGTTGCAGGACATCTACTTAATTATATTCACTTACCTTACTTGTCATCATTAATCTCATTTGGATTTGAAACGTGAATCATTATTCAGTATTTGTGGTTTGATCTTCACAAAAACATCTTTTTGACATACTCTTGTTCTACATAGCTTGAGTGTAAAACTGTTGTTTAGGTTTTCAGGTGATATACTTCTTAGTGACTTCCTTCTCTGTAGAAATGCTAATTCACAAGTGTCTTTTTTCTTCTTGCCTCGAATGTGCATTGTGGATTTGCAGGTTTTTAGTTGAAGTTGTGGTGGTTTTAGGATTGGATTAGTTAAGAAGCAAGGATCTGGGCTGTTTTCAGCTGAGTGGTACATTGTGTATATGAAGAGACTTGAGAAGAAATAGCATTGGCAATAGGGGAAAATGAAATCTGAGACACCTCTTGACTATGCTGTGTTCCAACTGTCACCAAAGCGCTCAAGGTGACTACATTATTTAGTAGCTTTTTTCTTTTAAATATTCTGCTATCTTTACCTTCTCAATGTCTATTCTCTTTCCATCTGGGGGCAGATGTGAGCTAGTTGTATCGCATGATGGAAATACAGAAAAGCTAGCTTCGGGACTCGTAAAGCCATTTGTTAGTCATTTGAAGGTTGCAGAAGAACAGGTTGCACAGGCAGTTGAGTCCATTAGATTAGAGGTCGAAAAACGTAAAAATGCAGAGTCTTGGTTCACAAAAGGAACGCTTGAGAGGTTAGTTACATTTACCAATGAAACAGTTTTGCCTTCTATAAGACTGGGTTTGCCTAGCTTCTTGATGATATGATTGTTTCTGATGGTTTTCAGGTTTGTGCGGTTTGTTAGTACGCCGGAGGTGTTGGAATTGGTGAATACATTTGATGCAGAGATGTCTCAGTTGGAAGCAGCTCGGAGAATATATTCCCAGGTTGTAGCTGTCATTTCATTTCTTAGGAGAAGATTAAGAAGCAAAACACTAATTCGGGAAGTTTTCTATTGCAGGGGGCTGGGGATCAGCATTTTGGTGCATTAGGTACGTATGCTTTTCTTCCTGTCTAGATTTCTCTATATATCTCCTTAATCCTGGATTAATCTGACCAAAGCAAAGCATGAGCGTTTATCTCTTCGAATAGTCTTCCCCCTCTCCTCCTCCTCCTCCCCCCCCCCCCCCAAATAATCATATATTTGATTTGACTTCTTGTCAATCTGTGGTTGATGGTGGGAAATATATATTTGTCAAACAAAATTTTATTGTTTCAATTGTCTCCATCTAAGCTATAGCCTATAGCATAGGGGGAATGTTTTTAGTATTATAATTTGTGATTAACCGATCTCATGGTTATTACTATTCTATCAACAGATGCATCTCCACTTGGTGATTGTTGTTCTTAACATGATATATTTAAGGTGTCTCACATTTAGTTTTAAAGGAAGACTTGAATCTAGTCAGTTACATGTCAATCTTAAGTAGTACATTTTATAAACAATATATATTTACACACACACACACACATACATATATATGTATGTATATGCAGCTATTTCGAATCTAATATGCAGGTTGATATCTAGCAACATAGGAATAAGTTTAAATTTAAAGAAACAAATAGAATTGAGTTATTATGTTTGCTTTCTGAATAATGAATAATGGACCTTAAATATTATCAAGAACATAAACTTTCGAATTCTCTTCTTTAATGGAGGCTGGCTGGAGGCCAATTTTAGACTAGATAGCTTGGCTAAGAGGGTTGTAGTTTTATTGAATCGCTGGTTCTTGTGTAAGGTGATTTGGAGACTCCTAGTCACTTTTTTGTTGCCTTTGGACTGGACATCCTTGGAAGACAGCACTTTCTTTGTTGGCATGACGTTGGTTGTTTTCTTGTTCAGTGTTGGATGAGATTAGAGCTTCAGCAAAGGTCGAGAAGGGAAATGCTAGGCTAGGCTCTTGTACCTTATTCCATTTTTTGGTTCACGTGGAAAGAGAGACACGATAGAGTTTTTAAAAGGCCTGAAAGCTCTCTTCATGTGTAGAGGTTTCTAGTTGTATTATTCTTAGATTTTAGGGCATACTCACTAATATTGCAGAGCTTGTGAGCCTTATAAATTTTCTTTTTGTACGTAGCCTTCATGTAAGGGCGGCACTTCATTGGTGCCTTGTAGATGCATTCTCTTGTCTATGAAAAAACATAAACTCCTGATTGCCATGAAAAGAAACTACTTGTGTACCATTACAGTGACTTATGGTTGAAGTTATACGTTCATGCAAATTGTATGTCTAAAGGCATAATGGATATGGACGTTAGGTTGGGTTGTGGCTCATATTCAGAGAGGTTATTTCTCTATAACTTTTTTTACTTGTTAGAATATGTAAAATTGATTAGTAATGGCATTTCCTATCTGTTTCAACAGAAAAATATTTATCATTTTCATAAGATAGGTCGGATACTTTAGATAATTGTCTTGTATTGTATGTTGTTGTCATCTTGTCAACCTTCTTTGCCAGTGAGGCTGGTTCTGATGTTTATGTATGACTCTTTTCATTACTTTCAAGTGTATATACATCGGAGTTTTTACTGTATACATGGTTGATTTATGTAATACATTTGCATATACATTATATTTGTGGAAAATTGATGTTGGAAAATGGGAGGAACTCTTGTTCTTTCATTCATTTATCAGTTTTTTTCATCAATTTGTCTTTTGTATACTTCTTTGCAGGCTTACCTTGTTTAGGTTTACTTAGTCTTGTTGACTTATGTCACTTCATCTGTCACGCAGATTATTAGGAAAGAGATGAAAGGACAAACAAATAGTCAGATGATTTATGATTTTTTAGCCTCAGTTTTTTTTTTTTCTTCAGACCCGTGGTTTTAATTGAAACAATGGACCTAATGCTAATGCATATTGGACTATCTTTTACTTTGATTAACAATATAGGTAGGATGAGCCTGGATTGTAGTTGGTTTAATGAGGAAAGGACTGTGCCTTAGATGAAGTTTTGGTTATGGTTGGAGTAGCACATATATATATTGGTTGTTAGATAGTTAATCATGGACTTACCCATGTAACTTGTGATTTGGACGACTATAGATAGATTTAGAAAGTTAAGAATAGATATGTCTTTGGTATACACGATTGCTTATCTTGGTGAAATTTGCTGTTAGTTGAATTTGAAAACGATTGCGGAAGTGCTAAGTTTATCTCAATATTTTATGTGGTTATGATTGTAGTACAAATTTGGGTTAATTTGCCTATTTAGGGGTTTGGAAATCATTGCTTTTCTTCTCCATGAAATTTTAGCAAAATTTGTGACAAATAATTTTCTTTAATGCTAAAACTAATGGAAGCACACAATTGTTTAAGAGTTTGAAATCTTGTGGGAGGATGAATCTGAAAAATTGGCGCTCCAACTTCATCCTTGAGTTGAACATCACTAGATGTTGTTATTGGCTTAGGTTTAACCTTGCATTGAACTTCAATATAAGTCCTTTTAGGTAGTGAAAGGTTTTGAGTAACCTTTTTGTTTTGAAATAAAAAGTGTGAAAGTATACTAATAGGCACCAAGGAGGTGCCACACTTGTACAAAATATTTACAGAATAGTAATGGCATTTATGACATTCCCAAAATCTTCCTATCTATATATGTCATGACCTAAAATTAATGAGTCAAAAAAGTGTAATCATCTGTCTAATTTTTGTCATCTCGCCCTCTAAGCCATCGAAAGCCATACTATTTCTCTATTTTCAAACAACCCAAAAAGTAGTTAAAGGGATAAGCTTTATAAATTTTTTATTTTTATGCAACCCCTTCCAAGCCCACAATTCCTCCTTCACTGACCTTGCGATCACCCACTTAATATTAAGTAGATTATACACCATAGTCCATAGTTTATAAACTACCGGGCACTAAAGGAAAATGTGGCTACAAGTGTCCACGACACTTTTACGTAGGTATCATACATCCACCATAATTCTATCCCTTCTCATTAGATTATCTATAGTTTTTTGAGATAACATCAGCTTGTCTATAGTCAAGATGCATTCCCTACTTGCTTTTCACGCAACCTTAAAATCTTTGCAGTTAGGAAGAAATGATTATTCGTCTTGTTTCTCAACTCCAAGATGCCTCTTCTCTTTATCCTTTTCATTTACTGTAGGCTCTTTTGGATGTTTATATTTACTAATCTCTTCTATTGTCATAGGTTCTAAAACTACATCTTTAATGATAAAATGATAAGTATCGGTAATCTCGTCATGCTGAACATGTCAATCACAAAGCAAAGATCGACCTAAAAAAATGTGTGAACATTATAGGAATAATGTAGCACAAGATTGAATCATTGTAGGTACCATGACGAATGGAAATAAGACTTTCTTGAGTTACTAAAATAGTTTGTAAGGTTGTATATGTGGTTGCATCATAAGATAGGGCCGTTCAAGGTAGGGATTGAAACTAGGTTCTAGCAGCATCTCATGAATGTTAATCATCTTGTTTTTATTTCCCTGGCGGTCTATGGTTTGAAAATTGGAGAATGCTTCCAATTTTCCTTTCTTTTACTGCTCGGTAGTGTTTAGTTCCAATGAAGAAAAACTTGTCAACTTTATTATCTCTGGGTAATGATTTGTATTCTTCCTTAATATCTAGATATTTAAAAAATTTCCATATAGTAGGCATAGAAGCTAAAATTAACTGGAAAGCTAAGGAGTGTGTGTCAAAATTAATTTGGAAACCATAAGCTAATATTGTGAAGAATGGGGAGAGGGTGTTGTCTAAAATTGGACTAGTTGAATTGGTTAGGTCAACCCAATCTGAAGAAGGCGAAACAGAGGTGATCCAACTAAGCTTATTTATGCATTATGTGCGTGTGGGTTTCATATATCAATTTCTACTCACCTGATAATAGTGGGGTTCTCATAGTGGGCTTGGCTTTAGAAGGTGGTTGCAGATTGTGTTGTGTATAAGACACATGATGTAGGACAAGAAGAGCTTGAGCAAGAAACTTTGAGAAAATTTATTAGAAAAAAAATGAGGACCTTAAACCTAAATAATCAAATCGATACATAGTGTTTGTAAAACAATCATGAATAGTCTACCAATTAGTCAAGTTAGGTACCTTATTTATAGGCACTAGCATACAATCAAAATAAGAATTTTTAAGTTTATCTCAGAATTCTACAAACTAGAAAAATAGTTAATTTTAATTAGTTGGAATAATCTATGATAGAGAATAACTAAATGGGATTGTAATTAAATAGAAAATAATGAGCTCATCTTAATAATAAACTTATAGTTAATAATTTTTGTTGATTTTGGAGAAAATCCTTTATGTTGTTACACTTGAGATATTTATAAAATTTTTAAACTATTGATAAAGAAATTTTTATTTTAGTAGAATTAGAGTAATCTATTCTCGTAAAATTCTAATTCATTATTTCAACTAATTAAATAATAAAATATTATACTCAACACTCTTGCTCAAGTTGGTTTAATGATATCACACCTGCTCAACTTGCAAATTAAGTTCTGAAGTGGATCGATTGGAGCGGTTTTCCCGCAAGGGAAGTGGATCTGCGTTGGATCGCGAAACTAGAGGCAAACGTGTGCGGAAGACCAAGAAAAAGGACTAGAAATGGTTGATTAGAGCAACTTACAGGCGGAGGAAGCAAATCTGTACCGGTATCGCAAAATCAGAGGCGGCCACGCACGAAGGAGCTAAAAAAGGACAAAAAAGGTTGGTCGGAGCGGCTTGTGCGCAGAAGAAGCAAATATGCACCGACGGGATACAACGAAAGCTCAGTCGGCAGGATGCGCGGCAGTTGCATGAAGGCAGGTATGGAGAGGCGTGATTTGGGCTGGTTCGCATGTGACAAGGTCATATTTGTCCTGATTGGGATGTTTTTGCGGTGGTCCAATAATTTTCCGGGCCGGATGTGGTTTTCCGGCGGCGCGCCTCTGTTAGTGGAGTTAGAAGGAGGCCGACACTGAATCTTTGACACTATCTAGGCCAATGATGAGAGTAGATCTGGATAAGTGAATACCAACTTAGCCTATTTTGTCATTTTAGGGTTTGAAGGAAACCCTAAAATTAAAATTTTAAAATAACTTTATTTAACTCTGATACCATGTTGAGTTTGGAGAAAAATTACAAAATTTATTTTCTTACTTTTTATGTTATTACACTTATGGTATTTATAGAATTTTTAATCTATTGATAAGAAAATTATTATTTAGTAGAATTCTAATTATATGAGATTATTATTCTCGTAAAATTTTAATTACATCATCTTAACTAATTAAATAATAAAATATTATACTCAACAATTTCTAAGTAAAATAAATACCTTAATAATAAATTAACAATACAATTATATAAACATCTCTTCTTATTAGGGAGGGGAGGGATCCTTCGCCATGGAGAATTGAACTCATAGGGTGGGCTTATGGAAGAGCATCATGTAGAGACAGAATAGTGTGCTCTACTACACCAAGTGGGAGGTGGGAAAGGGCAGCAGGGTTAGGTTGTAGCAAGACAAATTGTGTGGGAACGAATGTCTTATGATCATTCCTAGGATTTTTTCCATTGCCCTAAAAAAGAACTTGCTTGTCAAGAGGCTTCTAGGGTTTCCTAGGATTTTTTCTATTGCCCCAAAAAAGAACTTGCTTGTTCAAGAGGCTTCTGGGGTTGACATTACAAGGCAGTGAACTATTGGGGTGACCAAAAATTTGCAAGAGTGGGAAGTTGAAGAATATGAAGAATTGTTACAGCTTTTGGCTACCGTGTTATAACAATAGGGATCAACTTATTTGAATAAAAATTGTATCTTCTCTGTTATATCATTTTATATGCACCTGGTTGGCAATAGAGAGGTGGGGGAGACCAATTTTCCGACTAAACAGATTTGGAAGGTGAAGGCTCCATTAAGAATTTCCTTCTTTGCTTGAGAGGCGGTTAAGGAATGTATGCTAACTATGGACAACCACATACTTCTTTGGTGTCCGATAACTTACAGCCTATGGACTTTGGTCTATGGTCTTATGGGTATCAATTGGGCTATAGCTGGGTCAGTGAGAGGTAAGTTAATGGCGCAGAGGGGTTCTGTAAGAAGAATAGAAATGTACGTCTTATTCCTTTGATTATTTTTTAGTTATTTGGAAAGAGAGAAACAAGAAGGCTTGTGAGGTGATTGAAGGGCAGATTGTTAATATTAAAGACAGGTGGTTCCATTATTTTGGTTCCGTGATTTTGGGACATAACTTGGAAAGGATGGAATATTTTGGAGTTATGGTTTATATGCTTATTGACTTATAAATATTTTGTACATGAGTGGTACCTCCTTGGTGCCATTTACTTAATATACGTCTTACACTTTTTTTTTGAAATATCAGACAATAATTGTTATTCACAAAGGTACCAAGGGGTACCGCCCATGTAATATACGTTTTGCATTTTTTATATCAAAATAATAATAAAAAATAATAATAAACATCTCTTGTTATTGACAAATATCTATTCTAAGATCTTATTTTGTATCATTCTACCCATTTGGTGAAAACTTGACATCTAATTTTGAAATGTTGTGGTAAGAATGTCAAAATTGGAACTTGTATATGAGTACATCAACATCAAACCACCAAGTGATGTTATAGATGTTACTTTTTTAGGTTATTAGTTCATGGGTTTAAACAATGGAATGTTCATTTTGATGACCTTTTATTCATCAGAATCAAATGGTGAAAAGAAGTATGAAGAATTAAGCTGATATTTAATCAACCGGGCGAGAAAAGTAGAAGTGTATTTCGGTTTTTAGAAGTTTGCTGCCTAGTGAATGTTGATTTTTTTTGGTTGGGGACTTGGTGTTTGTGGCTTTTTTTTTCCATGTATTTCATGATCTTTAAACTTTTAAAGGGAATACTGAAACCATAAATCCATTTCACTCGGTCACAATAAAATCATGGCCATAGAGTTGCCTAGCTTGAATCATCATAAGAGAAGTATTATTACTAGAATGCTAACATGTCTTTGGACTCGGTTTCTAGGTGGAGATGGCACAGGATCTATGGCAGCGGCTGATGCAACAAAGTAATTTTACTTCCAAGCTATTATATTTTTTGTTTGTTAAATCTTGATTAATTTCACATTTTTGTTTAAACTTAACAGAGAATTATTCATCAGTTTCCACTTAGTGTGTTTTTTTTAATTTTTCGGTTTCTATGTGTCTGTGACTTATTTTTTCCATATATTTCCTATCTCTTAATGGTGTTGCTTGTCATGACAAGATTACGTGAATGATGGGTGCTAGATGGGAACCTCACCTGTCTTGGATACTAAAGAACTAAGAAATTTTAGCTGGGATGTGTTCTGTTGGATATTGTCATGTAGGTCCCTGCCACTAGATACTGCTACCATTTTGGTAAATGATTCAAGTGGTTTCTATGTTGCCACGTGGCAATGTGGATGGCGCATGCCATGCTGAAGCAGTATTCTTTAGGGAAACTAAAGCTTCATTTGGTGTATAAAAACATTTTTTTGTTTTCATGCTCGAGATTCATGCGTGTTTATGCATATATTTTTTAATGACCAGTTATCTCAAAAAAAGATTGTAGAATAATCAAAATCAAATGAAAGTCTTTTAGGAAACACAAAAACAATATTTTGAAAATTTCTAACCCCATAATAATTTTTATTATTATTCTCTTTATTATTTTTTTGAAATAATTTATTATTTTTTTCTTTATTATTCTCTTTATTGCTATCTAATTTATATAGTTTTGTAAGTGAGATACATATAAGTTGAGAAAATGAAAATTAGACAATGTTTTCATGCACCAAATGGAATTTATTTCTTTTGAAAGCAAAGCAAGAATGATTTTAACAAGGCACTGAGGAGTGCCACCCAAATACAACTTGGCTACAACTAGGGAAAATGAAAACTAATGGAAAAAGTAACTGGGATTTTGTGCACTCATGCATGTGTTATTTAAATTACGAAGTTCCATGCCTTAGTTATAGGGGGGTCAAGGAAACTTGGGATCAACATTTCGACCATGGGTTAGATGAAGGCAGATGCTTGCCAGATTAGACAGTAGATACCAGGAAATTTTTTGCCTTAAGATGTTGGGGTGAGTAGAATTATACCAAGTTGCAATTTGCATGTGTTCTCTAGTTTTCTCAGAAGTTCTGTTATTTGTTAACTCTTTACAGAAAGGAACTCTTGAGGGCCATTGATGTGCGACTTGTGGCGGTTAGGCAAGATTTGACTACAGCTTGTGCTCGTGCCTCATCTGCTGGTTTCAACCTTGATACTGTTTCTGAGCTCCAACAGTTTGCTGATCAATTTGGTGCACATAGACTGAAGTAAGGAACTCGAAAACCATTTTTCGATTAAGCTTTTGTCCTTTGATTGTGTGGTTCCTATCTGTGTATTCGAGTCTGCCTCATATATGCATGGGAGATGTACCTGTGAATGCATCTAGTTATCATTATCTTGAGCTTGTTTAACTTAGTTATTCTATAAATGCTTACCTTATCCAACGAACAAAAAACCTTGTCATTTCTCTCTTTTTTTTTCTAGATCTCATGAACCAGAGTTGGCTGACATATAATTTACCTGTTTATTCATCAGTAATGATTTATTTCAGCATCTTGAAATGCTCTAACATATTAGTTTGAAATGTGATAAACTTTCTGTGCTCCTCCCTTCCTTCCTCGAGCCATGGAATAGTATTCCTTTATAACCTTGCAACTACATATGTTTTTGTGCTTTCTAAATGAGTCTTTTCTTTCTCCCCGATATTCATTATTGAGTAGTTTTACTTTTAGTTCTAATGGCGTAAAAATATTGATAAAAGTTTTATCTATTCATTATTGAGTAGTTTTACTTTTAGTTCTAATGGCATAAAAATATTGATAAAAGTTTTATCTATTTATTAATGAAGGATAAAATATATATATTTTTAGTAATATAGATAAAAATTATGATGATTCATATAGGAGAAACATAAATACATGAAATAGATATGAGATATTTTCTTAATGTTATAATTTAAATAAACATAGTTCACTTTATTTAATAACCTCTCCTCATGGCGTATCCAGAGGTATGGTATTAACTAACTTTATAATAATATATAAAATATGATCTATATATATATATAGAGGGAGAAAAAAAAATTCCTATGAAGGAGACAATGATAAATAGTGATAATTGTATTGTTTAATTGGTTAGATATTAAAAAATACATATAGTAATTTATGTTAATCATGTACTTTTTGAACTCTTTTATTATCATAAAATAATAAATTTATACAAAAATACATCTAAAAAATAAAAAGTGCAAAGAAACAAATATGGCAATGGATCCCATTTAAAAATAATATAAAGTAATATAAGTAATGTAAGTATAACTATATATAATATTTTTCTTCATAAACTGCATCTTTTGCCAATAAGCACCATCATGAAAATATTTAGGTTTGTGTTTCATTGATGTTTTATCTTTATCTCTATTTCTTCTGTTAGCAATATTGGATTTATAGTCATCAACACTCTTCACTAATAAAACATTCAGATTTATGTTTTATCTTCTTAATTTTGTAATGACTAATATATAATATTTTCTTAAAAAATAATTAACTGATTATCTCATCATATGATAAGAGATAATTGTGTCTATAAATTATCATATTTAATAATTAGCTGATTATTTTTCTATCTCATGCAATGCACGTAATATAGTAGTTATAGTTCTAGTATTATATTCTTAAAATTTATTGTCATAATTCTATTTAGAAACTATTATTTTTCTAGAAATACTTAAGTTTAATATTATTTCATCCATTCAGTTATTAATTTTGTAGTTTTATATTTTATTATATTTAAGAAAACGAATTATATAGTATTAAATGAATATTTAAAATCAATACATAGAAATATTAGGAACCATTAATTAACATATGTTAAATAATGAAAAGGTACATATATCAACATATGCCCTCTTGTATTGAAATCTATTTATATCTTTATAGTTTTACAAAGATCTTTCCCATTAATATAGCAAGATCTTTGTATACTATTGCAATCATAATAATATAACAAGCAGTTTATAAGTAAATTTAAAAGTAGATAACAAATTAAATCTTATGATAAATTTTCTCATTGAAATAATATATGAACAAACTATATCATATTAATTTTTAAAATAAATGAATAAATTTTATCGGAATTTGATACGCACATAGCATATGTAGAAGGCTAGTGTGTGTGTATATATATATATATAGTAATGTCTTTGTAGTCAATGGTCGTAATTTAAAAAATCAAATAACCTTGCCACATGGTGCATCCAAAGGCAATCTTATCAGCCAACTCTATGTAAGCACGTGTAATATGATGCATATATACTTATTTGAAAAGAATATGATGTATATATACACACACTCATACATATATTTTAGATCTTGGAATGCAGAGTCACTTTTTTTTTATATATAATTCAGAGTCACTTTTATTAATCCTCTTCTTTTTTGGTTGTGATTTTGATGATTGCTATATGTTACTTAACAAATCTGTAATTTTTTTCTTTAGCAGGAACTAAACTTCTAAGTACTAAATTGCATTATGGTTTTTAGATGCTCTTATTGTTTTATCTCTGTGAAAAGCAACTAGTTGCAATTGTTAGGATGTTTTAGGCAAAGTTTATTTGAGTAGGTTGCAGGTCCACCATTGTGCCTTGTACATGACCGGGTTAAGAGTGCAATTGACTAATGAGCTTATTCAGAGAATGAAATCTTACAATGTACTTTAGATAGGAACCACCAATGTGAAATTAGGTGGGTTTGGTCAGATAAGGACTACTGAGCTCATTTTAAATGTTTAGAAATTTTAAAATGAAAGGTTCGAAAAGCATTAAGAACTTTACGTAATGTCTAGATATTTTGAGCCTATAGAATGTTGTTTGATGTGTGACAAGTGATTGATAAAGGGAGCTATGAAATTTAAATTAGCATGTTGTTTGCTTTTTTTCTCATTTTTTTCTCATATTTGTAATTTAGATCATAAAATGTTTAAGGTTGTGATTTTATCATCATATATTCCTGTTCAATGTGTGTGCTTTATATTTTCTCATTTCAGATCTATATTAAGCAACCAAAAACTGTCAATTTGTTGTGGAAGGACACCTGGGGAAATCTTATGTTTGTTGTTTCGGGACATCAGATTGCCCCCTTATAATAATAACTGACATCAATATATAGCATAAAATGGACTATAAACATGTGGTCACATTTGGCTCCTTATTTCTTTTTAATCTTATATTGTCCTATTGATTTCAGCTGTCATGAGATTGTAGAATAGTGGTGTGATTTCTTCTAATTTTTTGGAAATAAAAGTGTAGTATTAACAAACATGAAGGGGGTGTAACCCATATGCAAAAGTTGGATTTCTTCTAACTATTGGATCTTATTTTACAATAGAAAGGCATTTGATGATGGTTTCAATGTGTAACAATTTAGCAGGTATAGATGTCATAAGGCTGCTTTCTGCATTCAAACTTCAAAATATCTTTTATTTGCCTCTTTTTTTCCTCTGAAATTGATCATTATTATTTATCAATGATTATTGATGTGTAGTCTTATAATTGAGTGGTAAAAAAAATTTGTGCAGTGAAGCATGTACCAAATTCATCTCCTTGTGCCAGAGAAGACGGGATGTAATGAGTTCATGGAGACCAGATGTTGACGATCAAGCCATCCGGTGTTCATGGGGGTCTGACATGTCAATTGATGATCCTACAGAAGACCAAACTTGGTCCCACAACATTGTCAGGCCTCACCAATCGTTCATAAGTAAAAACCATTCAGCCAATCAGGAACAACCAAAGACAACACAAAAGGAGCAACTTGTAGACCATTTAAAACTCAACACGTTTCAACAAGACAAGTCCACATCCAGCTTATCTACAACACAACAACTTAGCCAAGATGAAAAGAATGAAAAAGAGAAGAAAGATGAGGGTCTGACAGAGTCATCGACTAATCAGGTGAGTCAACCCACCAGACGACTGAGTGTACAGGACAGGATCAACCTTTTTGAAAACAAGCAGAAAGAGAGCTCAAGCTCTGGCGGTAAACCGATTTCTGTAGGCAAATCTGCTGAGTTGAGAAGACTCTCCTCTGATGTGTCATCTGCTTCTGTAGTCACTGAAAAGGCTGTTCTGAGAAGATGGAGTGGTGCCAGTGATATGAGCATTGATTTGGGTAATGACAAAAAGGATAGCAACATAGATAGTCCTTTGTGCACACCCTCTTCATCATCTGTTTTGCAGGTCAGAAATAATACTATTTCAGGATTACCCGAGGATAACTATCAAAAGAACCAGAAGAAGTTGAGTGACATTAGTGATTCTGGTTTGAAAGATAAGGACGAAAAGAGTGATGCTGAAGGAGTTGGTGATTTTGGGCTGAAGGATCAAACAGAGGTGAAAACTTGGGGTGGCAACTCTTCAGGGAAAGAAGAAGAGGTGGGGGTTGAAGGGGCGTGTAAATTGGAAAGATCAAGTGGGTTCTTTTACTACACAGTACAGGTCTTCCACAGGTAAATCAGAAAATGGAGGATTGGGGGATCATGGGGTTCCTCATGAGAAAAAGGTTTCTATTGGTGGGGGTGAGAAGAATGCTGCATTTAAAGACCAAGCTAGTTCTGAGTTGCAGTCCAAAGGCATGTTGAATGAGCCAGCGTTTGTTGATGTAAAAAGCCAACCAACTTCTGAGACTCAGATTGGTGGTTTTGTGGGAAAGCTTGGGGCCGTCAAGCTTGATGATGAGTTTAGCACTGGAGTGGAGGATGTTGAATTGAAAGATCAGCCTGCGATGCAGTCACGCATTAGGTGTCCTCGAAGTTCACAATCACTCTCAGGGCAGCTTGAAGTTAGTGTTGGAATCAAAATTAAGGAAATTCAATATGAAGGAAGTCAGGAAGAGCAGGCGGCTCCTCAGGCACAGTGGAGATCCTTTGTTGTCGGAGCTGAAGAAGTTGGGAACAAAGAAGCGACCTTATCTGAAAAGCAGTCTGTCAAACTGGAAGGCTCTGGAGTCCAGAGAATGAAGTTCCAGAAACCAGATTCTGCAGGTTCTGAACAGATCAAGAAGTTTCAGGGAAGGAGGGATGAGATAGGTTCTGTTCGTGTGAATGACAAGCCAACTTTTCCAGTAAATATAGTTTCAGAGAATGAAGGTAGTTGTGGTACAACACCAACAATGCTGATAGAGCAAGTTCAGAGGGTAAGACAATCAAAGGGAAATCAGGAACTCAATGATGAGCTGAAAATGAAGGCAAATGAGCTTGAAAAGCTTTTTGCTGAGCATAAACTTCGAGTTCCTGGGGATCAATCCAATTCTGCTCGGCGAAGCAAGCTTTCTGACATGCAGACTGAACAGACATCAAGTTCACAGCATAGGAAGCCTGCAGCTGCAGAGATATCTCCTGCTCAATATCCTGATACAAATGCATTGATTCAGTCAACCGGGAGTTCTAGTAATGTGTCTAAGTTTAGTACTCCTCCAACAACGAAGATGATTGGTAATCAGGATTATACAAATACACTAAGACACAATTTCTCTGAGCTTAGCTTTTCAGATGATTCTCGAGGAAAATTGTATGAGAAATACATGCAAAAAAGAGATGCAAAATTGAGGGAAGAGTGGGGATCTAAAAGGGTTGAGAAGGAAGCCAAGTTGAAGGCTATGCAAGATATCCTTGAGCAAAGTAGAGATGAGATGAAAGCCAAATTCTCTGGGTCTTCTGATAGGCAAGATTCAGGTTATAGTGCTCGCCGGCGCGCAGAGAAACTCAGGTCATTTAGTTCTAGGTCAAATATGAAGAGGGAGCAGGTAGTTTATTGTTATGTTTTTGAGAAAAATATATGCTCAAGTGATAAGTTGTAGATATAAATATTTGGAGTTTTCAAATTTTGCAAACCTTCAGTCTTAGTTTTATGTTTTCCAACTAATTTGATGATGTCATGTTTTGACAGCATCCTATAAGTACATTTCAGAGTGAAGAAGATGAAGATTCATGTGATTTTCCTGACCAGAAATACCATGGGCAAGATAGATCATTCAATGAGTCTTCTCTTGGGGATGGTTCTTCTAGAAGCTCTCAGAGTAAGAAGTTGTTGCCCAACAGAAATACCTCTTCATCTACTCCTAGGAATATTGCTGCGCAAGTTCCACGGTTGTCAGCAAAAGTTTCTAGCACTAGTTCAGGGAGGCGGAGGGGCCAATCAGATAATCCACTTGCACAATCAGTTCCCAACTTCTCTGATCTAAGAAAAGAAAACACAAAACCTTCTGGAGTTAGCAAAACCACTAATCGGATACAGGTGAGGAACTATGCCCGCAGCAAGAGTTCAAGTGAAGAGGTTCCTCCTGCGAAGGAAGAAAAGCCGCGGAGGTCTCAATCTTTGAGGAAAAGCTCTGCTGGCCCTGTAGAGTTTACAGAATTTTCCACTTTAAGCTCCGATGATGTTGGTTTGGCATCTTCAAAATTTGAGAAAGAGCAGTGTGAACAGACTATCCAGGACAAGTTTCT